CGAAGTCGGACGCTTAACTGACCAAGCCACCCAGGCGCCCCAAGCAACTACTTTTAAAATCAATCTCTGAGGCCTTCCTCACTAAACTGTTCATTTGGCAATATTATGATATTAACATCTATTGAATTAAATTATATGATTCATTTTAGTGCCTTAAAGGATAGTCAAAGCTTAAAAACAGCCACGCATATCCAAATGCATTTCAAAAGTGTTGTGATTCTACCTCATAGGTATAAAAGTCAATCTTTTATATTCTTAGATCTTGATGCAGGTTCAAAACCATTATTTGTATTCATACATTTTCTTGCCACATGAACACAGTAGAAAGGTCACTTGAATTTTTCTGGTGAGAGGAGATGATAAACTTTCCCCTAGTACAGGTATTTTTGAATTTTGCTTACTAGTATTCTGTGTTTGTCACATGTGCCTAGCATGAATTTTATTTGAAAGTTTACATACTTTTGATAAACTGCAGTTACTACACTCTTTCTTCCACAGGAAATCCCCTTATCAGAAATTTTATCTCTGGAACCAGCAAAACCTTCAGCTTTAATTCCTAATGGGGCCAATCCTCATTGCTTTGAGATCACTACAGCAAATGTAGTGTATTACGTGGGAGAAAATGTGGTCAATCCTTCCAGCCCACCACCAAATAGCAGTGTCCTCACCAGTGGCGTTGGCGTCGATGTGGCCAGGATGTGGGAGATGGCCATCCAGCATGCTCTCATGCCTGTCATACCCAAGGGCTCGACTGTAGGTTCAGGAACCAACTCGCACAGTGAGTCTGCTCTAGTTTTGTGTCTGTAGAACAGATAAAGAGAGCCTCTTTGGGGATGACTTAGTTTATTGGTGAACATAGGGTCTCTATATGGAAGCTGCTAAGATACTTCATTAAATGATCCTATTTTATTTTTTTTAATTTTATATGAAAATTTGAACAAATTCACATTTAACCCTGTATATTTATTAGGCAATAGCAGAAACCTAGAGCTGTTGGTCGTAAAAGAAGGAGTAATCTAGTCAGCTTGAGTTTGATCTGGAATCCCAGTCTTGCTATTTGCATATCTGAGTTAACATGTTTCCTCAAAACTGTCCTACTCTGTGTAGGATACTGGGTGTTCAGAGTACTTGGAAGCTCTAGAAAATTGTATCCCAGGAAGAAATCCCTATTCATTAGTAGAATGAGACAGATTTTACCAAAATGCAATCATGATCAAGGGTTGAGGATGAATGTTAAAAAGATATTTTAGAGGAATATCTATGTAAAAATATGTAACTTTAAATTTTATAATGGCTATTAATAGCAAATCCTATGGGGAAAAAAAACCTGTTTTTCATATCACAGTATGTTATCTTCTGATCTTTCACAGCTTTTCAATTGATGTCTAACCCAGTGTACATAGAAATAGATTATATATGTTTATTTTATGGCTAAGGATTTTACAGGAGGTCTCTATTATGATCCCTAAAACAACCCGAACAGGTGGACGTTAATGATTTGCCTGTTTTACAAGGTGAGGCAATCAGGCCCTAGAGAGATTAAGTTGTCTCAGCTTTACCAGAGCTGTGAAGAGGCAGCCAGCATTTAACCCAAGGCTTCATGACTCCAGACTCTAAACTGACAAAATGTTCTTTTTTTTCAAAACCAAGTACAGAGTAAATATGTAATTGTAAAGGAAAGAAATATTGTAATGAACTTTTCCTAGAAACATTTAATTGCTGTGATTTAAAAACAACCCTTCAGCTTGATTAGTAAACATGTATCTACCTGTTTTGCTATTACTTCACTTACTTCCTTTGTGTATTTTTTAACATGTATTTCCAGGAGAGATTTCTGTGAGTATTTCAGTATCAAATTGCCAGATTCAAGAAAATGTGGTGAGTATATACCTACTAATATAAAGCTTGGTAATGTGATTCTTTATTGGAAAATAAGGATCTTAAAATGCATTTTTATTTATCTAACATTTTAATTTTACAGTATTTTCTAGAAAATAAAATTGGGTCTATTTGGATATTTTTCTTCCATAAGATTTTAGAAACATTGCATTATGTGGATTTTTTAAGTGATCTTCTTCCTAAATACCTATTATTCATCTCAGATGAATAATTCTAATGTAGTGACTGATTTTTCCCACATTTGCCCTTCTTGGTATTAGAATTTTAATGGTTGATATAACACAATACCAAACAAAATAAATTCTTTGAGTTGCATGAGTAGCTTAAATATGCCCTTATTCTCATTCCTTGATTGCCACCTAGGAGCGCTGTCATAGGACGAGGCATTGGAAATGCTTTTAGAGTCACTTGTATGTAGCAAGGAGACCTCAGAAAACTCCATAATTCAGAACGTATAGTCCATATTCTAACACCCTCATCAGCTGCTCCACATAACTCCATCCTTTCAACTCAGTTTTTGAAAATTATAGACATATTATGAGATAATTTATTATGCTTCATTATTATGCTTTGTCATTTATACATGTCATGTCAGGCAGCCAAAATGTAATCAAGCCTTTCCCACCCTGTCCTATGACTCAAGACCTTTTGCTGTATTTTGCCTGTTATACTTATGACCAAAAGCATGATGTTTATAGCCTAACTTACATGGATGTGAGTTTAGGTTTTAAAGAATAAACTCTGTGAAACTCTATTCATCACTAGTTATAGCTTTGCAAACTTTGTTCTGGTGGCATGAAGTAAACTGGAAATCAAAGTTGAATTAAAGAGAATTAGGAAAACTTCATAGTATTCTTATGCTGTCAGTCTTGAAGTACACTTCTAGACACTTGCAGGTTCCTGTTGTTCTTGCTCAGCCAGAGAATATTTGGGGAAATAAAGGTTAATCTATAAACCTCTTGGAAAATTCTAGATACCTGTCTAGTGATTCCACTTTGTTCAGCCACTGTTGTCCCCTGAAAATTTGGGGTGGGCCATTGAGCCATGTGAAGAAGATGGAGTGGCTTGGACTTGAAATACTGGAGTAGTATTAATTTGTTTTATCTCCAGACAGCCTTGAACCCACCCATGGATACTCTGAAGGGATAACAGGATAGAGACAATGCATGATTGTTTTTCTAGGGAAGAGCACAAAGGAAAAGATAAGAGTGGATAGAATATGAGGTGATGTGAAAGGGCTCTTTCTCTAAAAAGAGAAAGAGTACAAGAGTGGAGGATATGCAGAAAATTCAGAATGATAGAATAGGAATAGGAATACATTAAGTGAAAAGTACTGTTTGTGTTTTCATGAGTGTGGTCATCAAATTGGAGACTGTAAGACGTAGATTAAAACACAATGCTCTATTTAGCAATTTTTTTGAAAAGACTAGACATTTGGATCATGTGATCTCCAGAAGTGGTTTATAAAAATGGAAGAGTTTAGTTACCTCACAGATGAGAATTCCACAATGGATTGTCATCCTTCTGTGCTATCTCCAATCCATGGTGATTCAGCCCTTTCAGTTTAGATTCATCTGGGTGTGGATGATCCATAGAGGCATCCTCACCATCCTAACCATAGAGAGTAGGGTGATTGGAATCAGGACTGGCATAGATATGTGATTTGGACCCATGATTATTTAACCTGAAATGTCTAAATAACCATCCCAACAAGCAAATCCCTTTTTGAATACTTACAATAAGTAGCATAGTATAGTTTTAAGTCTTATTTCTCTGTAAAAACATATTTGACTGAACATGAGAAAAACATATGCTGCTTAAGAGCCGAATAGTTTTCTTTTTTTTAACATGTCTATACATATGAAAATTTTATTTTATATATTTGATAGAAATTTAATTAAATGCTTTGTTGAGGAAACTGAATTATTGGTATGTCTGTACTTATATGTTTGTCTGGATCTGTTAAGTACATGTTAAGTTATACGAGGAAGAATTTAAGGAATTAAAGAGCCAAACAGTTTTCAAAAAACATTACAATTCAGTTAATTGTAGAGCGTGCTTTGAATACTCAGTGATACTGTAGAGTTCATCTAGCACCTACAATCTCATTGTTTATGTTAAAATATTTAATAGTATTCGTGATATATATGATAGACTTATATAACTTATCAGGACTAATGCTTTGTACTGCTTCATGTTTGTTTTTCATTGGGCTTGTGCCTATAGGACATCAGCACAGTATATCAAATTTTTCCTGATGAAGTACTGGGTTCTGGGCAATTTGGAATTGTTTACGGAGGTAGGTTAGTTCACTAGTATTTTTATTAACTTGGAGTTTTAGCTACTTTATGTAGAATAACAGTATCTCCAATAAAAACATAACAGACAACACTGTGTGTATATATATGTTTGTGTGTATATCTATCTCTGTGTTTTACCTTTTTCACAATTTCTCAAGATAGTCACTATTGGGAAAAATGGGTATTTTTGTCTTTTAAGAGAAATTTTTCTACTCCTAAAACACTTCTTTTGCTTACATATTGACAAACTCTATCTATAATACTGGTTAGATGTTGGTTTATTTAGACAAAATATTGAGAATCATGGAAGTTATAATTTATAAACTAATTACTGTTTAGTATTTCCTTTTAACATATTAGATGAGAACTCTACAGAAATCCATTCGTGTAACTAGATAAAATAATTTTTTAATTCTAATATTCTTGACAATGTACGTATTCATTAAGGTTATCATTTTTAACATTTTTGAAATGAAAGACTGTATTTTTACCTTTTTCTTATTGTCAAGCTATTTGGTGAATTTATTACTTTAACCTATGCTGTTCTAGATTCTAGCCAGTTCAGTTATATTCTTCAAGGCTTTAAGAAACATTTAACATTAATGTTTTATCAGCCCTATAAAATGCCATCATAACTTCCTGTCCTGGATATAATCAGTTAAAAAATCATCTTTTTTGTGAGGTGGGAGTGCTCTGAAATTATCACAGTGTCTCACTCAATATTATTTATGGTAGTATAATATTATGCTTTTTCAGTTAAAAACTGATTAAGTTATATTCTGTTCTAAAAAGTAATTTTAGAGGTGCTTGGCTGGCTCAGGGCATAGAGCATATGACTCTTGATCTTGTGGTCATGAGTTTGAGCCCCACGTTGGACATGCAGTTTACTTAAAAAAAGAAAGAAAGAAAAGAAACGAAAAAAAGTGATTTTGATTCTTAAAAAATGCTCAAATGATTTTTTTAATGGAAAACCTACCATAAGTCAGCAGCCATTGTGCTTTTTGTTGCTGCACAACAGTGTAACAGTACTACACAGAGTATTGCTCTACATTGTAATAATTGCTTACAAAAAAGAAAAAGTCTTGCGAGTAGAGCATAATAAATATGCACAACTGCACATAGTGTAGGGGTAAGAAATGAAGTTAGGGAGACCAGATAATTTGTAATACCCAACACTAAAAGAGCAGGCCCAGGAAGAGGCCTCCACAAAGAAACTGAAAAGTTAAGCCTAGACGCACAGGGGATGAAGCAGATGAGAACAGCTATCAGAAGAAAGGTCAAGTACTATAGCAGCAGAGGAGTAGAGACAAAAAAGGCTCTGACCTTGAAGATTGTTGAAAGTAAAATGGCTGAGTTGGAGTAGAGATCACAGTGCGTCAAAGAATAAGTGGTGTTAGGGAAGCAGAGAATGTGAAAACAAGAGAATCTGGTAGTGAAGGGAAGCAGTCTGAAAGGAGTCAACGGGAAGAGAGTGGGGTAGAGCGGGGAGGAACACCAGATTTACAACAAATGTTGGAACAATTGAATCTCAGTTTAGTTTGTATGTGAAAAAACTTGAGTAATTAGGTCGACTTCCTGTTTTCATGTTCATATTTATTTACTACTACTGTATTCTGTATCTACTACACTATAGTAGTATAGAAGTGAAGAGCTTGAGGGTGCCCTATAGATTCCCTATAAGGTTTGTTGTGAGAATTAAATGGGATGTAATGTGTGGAAAAGGCCTGTCATGTGATGATGGTGATGATGATGGTGATGGTGAAGGTGAGTGTGTACAATTACCTGGGTACTGTGTGTACCTTACATATCTTATTTCATCTAATGCTCACAACAGCCCTACCATTGAAGATGAGGAACCAAAAACTCAGAAAGTTTAAATTATTTCTCAAGGTCACAAAGCTAGTAAGTGAGAGCCAAGACTTTTTATTCTTTCCATTTTAATGTGCATTAGTTTACCAGCACTTTAAAATTATACTTTCTTAAGGAGAGCATTTTGCTGGTGGTATAATATTGTCCATATTAAGTAGTTCAATATCCTGTTTCTAAAACACATATTTTTGTGAGAAAATATCAGGCTGTTGATAGGTATAGCTTTTAACGTTCCACTTTTGTGTTCTAAATTGTGGCTGATTTTATAGTACATATTTGATTCAGAATAATGGAGCCAAGAAATGAAATCTTGATGGATATAAGTTGGTGCTCATTAGAAATGTTAATTTATTCAGTGAAACATTTTTGTAATTCTTAAAATTATCTTTATAAATTCTGGTGTTCTTTAATATATATGATATTTAGTAACATTATGCTAATATTTCCCCTTTTCATTTTAAAGGAAAACATCGTAAAACAGGAAGAGACGTAGCTATTAAAATCATTGACAAATTAAGATTTCCAACCAAACAAGAAAGCCAGCTTCGTAATGAGGTTGCAATTCTACAGGTACTTCTTTGCTTTTCTTTTGGAGGCTCTAAAATATTCCTCCAACTTCTTCAGAACAAAGAAAAGTTATCCAAATATCTGTGGCGTAGATTTTTGGGAACACTTCAAAATAACTGGAAAGGCAGATCAAGCATCGAACTACTACCTGTGTAGTATCTTTCCTGAGTCTGGGCAACATTTGTTCTTTTTTATGTACCTAATTCTGGATTTTAATACATTATTAATGCTCATTAAATGGGTAATGTTTCAGCATTTGCTCATTGTGGACATGCTGAGACCATTTTGTTTCACATTGTAAATGACCTTGTCTTCATAAACATTCCACCTTTATGCTGTGATAATTATATGAATTGAGTATGTAAATGTCAGCATATCAAGTAAATGAGTAATGTATGCCTGAGATTCAGATCATCTTGGTATTGTTAATGTCCTCTTTGTCTCTCAAAGTAAGCCTTTCCCTTTATATTGAGCATGTTCCTTAACTCCTTTCGTTAACAGTCATCCCTTTTACTTTTTTTTTTTAATGTTTGTTTATTTTTGAAAGAAAGAGACAGAGAGAGAGCATGCAAGCAGGGGAGGGGCAGAGAGAGAGGGAGTCACAGAATCCAAAGCAGGCTCCAGGCTCTGAGCTGTCAGCACAGAGTCCAACATGGGGCTCGAACTCATGAACTGCAAGATCATGACCTGAGCCGAAGTTGGACACTTAACCGACTGAGCCACCCAGGCACCCCAATCCCTTTTCAAGCCAGAATATGTTAGTCAGACATATTATGTGGTATATACAATTTTTTGTAACTGTTAAAACTTTTTCCACAGACTAAAAGGAAATTGAGCAACTGTTTGCTAAATGTGGTCAACCTAGCTATTCAGTCTAGACAATTAGGCCATTGATAAATGGCCATTTTTTTATATAACCACCATAATTCTCTACTTGTTGTGCAAGCTGGTCATAATTTCTAATTCATAGCTTTATTGAATAATTTTCATTTGAACATCACTAACAAAGCAAAACATATTGCATTTCTTCACTTGTTTCATTTAACTGCACTTTATTGAGTTTCATCAATAAAAAGTTGAAGAAAATGCAACTTCCGCCCTAAAGGAGTTCATGTGCATGGACAACCAAAAATAATGCTTGCTATACATAGAAAAATAACATAGACTTTTCTGGGACTAATAATTTCTAAAGATGGTGTTTTTGTGCTTCTGAACAACTATGTAACACAGAGAACTACCACAGTGTTCTCTGTTTTCATGGGGAAGATGATAACCACGGCTCTGAAGATGCCAATTCATAGATTCATAGCTTGGCGTTTGCTAATCAGTTACCGAAAAAGATTTTTTTAGAAAATTCTTAACTTGGCAACATTGAGCTGTAAGTGACGTCTGAAAAGTTAGTCAATGACATCTTGCCAACCCTGGCCCCTGCCGTCCCCGTCTCCACTCCCACATGGTGTCCTGAAGGCAGATCCTTTGCAACAGGCCAACATCCAGACTGGCGTGTGTACAGAGACATTTATCCTTCCTTACCAGACATGAGGGAAGTTTCTTGGTTAACATGGCTCTGTCACTCTACATTTTATGGCAGTAGCAGAGAGTGACTAGATCAATGTTGAATGTCTGATTTTCTGTGTCTAGAACCTATAATTGGCTCTCCTGAGCATGTCTGTATGTTATCAGCTGCTGATTCTATAGTAAGGTAGACAAATAAAATACACCTGAGCATAAACTGCCTCCCATTTCCTCTTCTAAAAGAGTGGATGCAATCAATAACTCAGTTGCAATAAACAGGCTTTGGCAACATTTTCGTTATGGGTTTCTAAAAAAAAAAAAAAAAAAATGTTTGGTTAGGTTGAAAGTCAAATTCTGCCCCTTGAGTACATGAAGAGTTGGAACAGTTCTCATATTATGGCCTGAAATCTCAGAAATGCTCATTGCTTATCACTCCTCCCCACTGGCCCTAACCAGTCTTCACTTTTTTCATCAAACTTGTATTGATTGAGTACACATATCACAAACTAAGTACTGTTCTGTGTCCAGTGGTTACAGTGGAAGCAGAGACACACAGATCCTTTTTGTCATGGGTCTTAGTTTGAATCACTCGGCTATGCCTTCTGTCAGTCAGATGTTTGCAGCATATTTATGTGTTGAATTTTCAACCACATAGCATGTACTATGCGTCTTATTAAGGTTTGGCTTAATTATATGCACATACTGGATTCAGTAGTTTGTACTTTATCATAAAGTTGCCAATTGGTTCAAAATTTGTTCATCAAAAATAGGGAACTCATCCTATCTTCCAACTGAAAAAAATGAAAAAAAAAAAGTTTGAACTTTTTTACCAATTGTCAAATTTATCAGCTTCCCAGAAAGATTATAATTCAATATCCAGAGACAATGGTGTTTAAGTTCATATCATTGATATATAAATGCCACTCTCACCTTATTTAAAAATACAGTCCACTCAAACCCCCTCACATCCATACCCCTGTACCACCCTTAACTCTGATATATGTTTTTTTTTTTTTCTTCCATAGCACTTAATTGCCTTCTGGTCTGTTATAGAATTTCATTTGTTGTATTTGTTGTGTGTTTCTCACCCCAGCCCCTTCACTAGAATGTGCACATCTGGAGGGCAGATATCATGGTTTCACTTACTGATGTATCCCGAACACAAGAATTTTTTCCTGGTGCACATTACGTGTTTAGCAAATATTTGTTGAATAAAATTGTACGGAAACACCATCCTGTCACATAAGATGGCATACATAATATCCCACTAGGTAGCAGGAATCTGGTCCGCATTTGCTATTAATGTTTAATTGGTTAGTTAAGAAAGATTAACTATGGTTAATGTGGTTAGTTCTCTGAAAGCCCTCATTGCCTCATTTTATATTTTTATTAAAAGTTAGAATTCATCTTTTTGGACCTGAAAAGACAAAGCAGTAATGGGGATAGAGGGTGGGGGTTAGAATTCTGACTCACTAACTGATACGTTCAGACAAAGTGCCATGATCAAAGTCAACTGGATGGTGAGAAAGGTTTTCTTCTACTAACCTTATGGAACAGAATTCCATCCCTCTGGATATAAAAGTGATTCCTGGAAGCATTTGATATCCTCTGCCTTGTGGTTCCCTACTTACAAAAGCTGGAGTCCTCGTTTTTGGTTGTACCTGGAGTTCACAAGTTCTGCCCTGTCCCCTCCTCCTGATTCTCCAGAAGTGGCCATGTTGACTAAAGTGACTGATGGCAGAAATTCCTGCCCATGCAGCTCTCCTAGTCCTCTGGTCAAATGCTAATTTGTTTCTGTGGTTTGTAAAAAAGCTCCTTAGCTTATAGAAGACTTCAAAGTTGTGTAACTATGGAATATGTGAAAGAATTCTTTCTTTCTCCCTTTTCTCCTTTCTATATAACCTAGGTGAAGGCTTTCCAAAATCTGATTCAGTTGTTAGAAAATTAAGCTCTTCAGATATCTTTAAATAGTTGAAAAATTGAGGCGAGTCTGAATCTTATGGCATAGTTATTATCCCTTACTTATATCATTTAGAAGAGCTCTGCTTTCATTAGATGTAAATACTTCATTATTATTACTGTGTTTCAGAACAATGTTAATTAACGTAGATGTTAAACATTTCATAAAATCCCCAAGGGATCCTACTTATATTATTATTTTAAAAGTTGTATCTTGATTTAAAAAAAAACATGGAAAATTTGAAATTATTTTTTCCTATTCATGACAACAAAAAAGAATAAAAAAATTGTTGTTTAATGATTAGGAATATCACAGAAAACTGACCTTTACAAGGAGATGAAACTTTATCTTAAGAAAACTTAGAAACTTAAAAACCTACAGTAAATGATATCGGTATGATATATATTTAATGTACTTTATTAACACAGATTTGTTCAGTCAAAATTAAAACACAAGCACTTCTGTTTATGATACAAGGTGTGAAAGCATTTTGCAATTTAAAAATATAGAATACATAATATAGAAAAAATACATAAGAAATTTACAGGCCATAAGTTAAATATATCCCTTGCACTAACCTCCAAAATTACCTCCATTACTCTGGTTTCTCTATTGGGAGGCACTCCTCTTCTCATTCATGTGTCTCTTAACTTCAAAACAAAACAACAGCAACAGCCAAGTGTGGTTGGGATTTGTCTGGGCTGCCTTGCACAGCTGCATCCAACTCTCCCTTTGGTATGGCAGCTCTTGTAGATTTGTGCTCTATTCTTTTCATTCTTGTTCATAGATTTCCTTGTCTTTGGTTTCCCTGCCTTTCTTAAATAAAATGCAAGGCCCTTTGCCATCCCCTTGTTTTCTTCCTCTGCCTGCCTATCACCCTTTGGCTGTTTTTCAGTCTTTATCTCAGTCCTTGCAGGGCATTGATCATTTGTTCCTTTTTCAAATCTCTGTCCTCACTCCCCCCTGCACTTACCAGATCCTGTTTCTCTTTCCCTGCTAGTCCTTCCAACTTGTCTTCCTGAACTTCTTTCTTTCATATAAATGGCCCATACTAATATGGGACTCATTCCTGAAGTGAGGTCATCCACTTTAAGGGAGTCGTCTGTCATCCCTTCCCAGGTCATTCCTTAATTGATCTTTTGAGTTCTGATCTTCCACAGGCACTTGAGTCTCAGACCTTTGACCTTAGGACATCTCCACTTTGGGCCGGTCTCACCCCAAACCAACCAGCCTAAAACCAAACGCTTAAACCTTAATCATTCTTCCAGGTTCTAAGGCAAGAACCCTTTTCTTCAATTAATAAAAATATTAAGTCCATCAGCAATAACTGTGAAATACTTCCTTTATACAAAGCAAGTTACTGAGCTTCTGGCCCATGTAAAAATGAATGAAACCTACCCAGTTTCATTCTGACTTCTATTTGGGCAGTCAGGTACAAGTAACTACAAATCGTGTTAGCTGTGGAAATATAGTGAAAGAAATCACGGATTATGACTGAGGCCAGAATGTTGGAATCAGGGAGAGCTTC